CGGGTCATTTTGACCCTAGGACAACGGGAGGGTTAAGGCGCTCGAGTCAAACACACGTTCATTTCGTGATGTTAAAACTGGCGCACCGGCCAGTTTCCGGCCCTAACGGTAGGTTCGGCAATTTACCTGTCTTATATCAGCTCGATTGCGCTCAGATGGTAGGGGTGGACATATTTGAGATTAGTCCTTAAAAACATGATCCAAAGTGTTAATAAAAAAACCAAGCATAGCCTCTCAATGAAGGCTGTTTTATTTTTGTCCTGCCCAATGTGATCAAGTAGGCTTGTCAAGACCGTTGATAAAGTATTTGGCTTGTGAGACGTGCGTAAGAACCCCCTCCATGATGCAGGCTACGTGTGTCCATGCCCATCATGAAACAAGAGATGAGAACCTCGGTGAATAGCAGCGAACCTTGTATTTAGAAGTTATTTTCCTGTAACAAATTGTTTTTTTTTCTCCCCGAAACCCTCAGTAGGCTACGCTTACTTACCCTAGGCCTACTATAATGAAGGCTGGTTCGTGTTTAGTTTTTTAATCCAGGCGATTTTATGATATCGTTACATTTTACATGTATTTATTATTTTTGTTGAAAAAAAATAAAAAAATAGATGGCTTGTTTTTCGTTTAGAAACATTTATTAAAACCAAAGTTATTAGGATTCACTGTCCTGGTTTTATGGTGAGAACGTCCATGACGCGCATGCAACGCGACTTCTGGAGAATGAGATCTGTGAGATGCCTCCAATGTGTTTATAAAACATTATATTTGGGAGCTGTATTAGGGGGAGTGGACGTTCTCCCATTCTCTTTATATTGGATCTTTGTCCAGCTGCTGTGAAAACCCTCCACAGTCTGCGTTGTTTTAATATTATGTGCCCGAAGGGAAGCAATTATGGTGCCTGTAAGTGCATTCAGACACTGTTTCGTTTAGTTTAGAATTTGATTCGAATTATTCGCTCTCTTTTTTTGTGAATTTAATCTTGCTTAAGTGACAACATCTGGCATGTCCATGCTCAGCCATAATGCTATTTACAGTAGGACTAGCCCCTGTATCCGTGAGAATGCTATGTATATATTTCAACATTAAAGCCATGCATTTACTTAGAACAATGTGGACTGCAAACAGGTTCAAGTTAACATATTTAGCAAAGATGGGATAGGTCTACATTTTGTTATTTTGTTTCTGTAAACTGTTTAACAAACTATAACAGACTAACATTGGAGTTAAAGTTGATTCCAAAGGAAATACATAAAAATATCATAAAAACAGAAATTGAAGCAACCACATATTTAGCCATGGAGAACGCTCTGATTGGCCAGTGAGGGGCCAAGACTAGACACACCCACAACTTGTTTATTCATCATAACCCAGCCCCTTTCGCGCCAACGCCAGCAACTGCGCCGATAATTGTGCTTGTGAAAATAGCCCACACGAACCCAACGCCCAGCGTTTAGATGGACCATTGCCTTAGGGTTTGTATAGCCCAACCCAGCCCACTGTTAATGGACATACTAGGGATAGGCCCAAAAAAACAGAAAAGAATGAAAATAGGATGATAATACAGCGCATGTAGAAGTATGAAAGTAATCAGCGTGCAAATTTGTGGGTGGTGGGATCGGAACCACTATCTTGGCGTTACAAGCGCCGTGCTCTACCAGCTGAGCTACAGAGGACCACAAGAAAAAGCACAACCCGAAGGACAAAAGACGACCTCACTCTAGCAGAATGACATGAAAGAATACACCAGGGGTGTAGATCAATAAATCAAGAGAAACAGAGAAAAGAGACCGGGGAATGACCAGACTAAAAGAGAAGTAGAACGACGCCGAGAAAGAGTCCTGGCGAAAAGAGAGAAGAGAATAGACTCCTATGAGAAAAGGAAAAGATCCTAATAAGAAGTAAGATAATAGAATACAGTATTATAAAAGAAGTAAAAGAGGTCCCCTATAATCTAAGATCCTCCCCTCCCATCTCCTATCTTCTCCTATCCGTCTCCTATTATCCAATCCTCTCTCCCTTCTCCTCCTCCTCTCCCCTCTCCTCCTACTCTCCCCTCTTCTCCCCTCTCCTCCTCCTCTCTCTCCTCCTCCTCTCCCCTCTCCTCTCATCCCGTCTCCTCCTCTCCCCTCTCCTCTCCCCTCCTCTCCTCTCTTCCTCCCCTGTCCTGCTGTGAAATGCTTGGCTTGACTGAGGGATGGGGACCCTGGAAGAGCAAGGGCCCTTAACAGATGAGCTTCTATAAAACCCTTCTACTTATACAGAGAACACATGCCCACAAAACGCCATGCACCACAGTGTGTGTGTGTGTTTGTGTGTGTGTGTGTGTGTGTGTGTGTGCATATGTATCCGCAGCCTTCATGGTAACCTCACCCCACTATTTACAGTTCCAGCCAGTGGTTCTGGAGGAGGAGAAATGGAGCTAGCTTTTGTTGATGCCAGTCACCTTCATAATGTGTGGCAGTTGAGCATTAATCATATTAATATCGCTCTGGTTGATTGGTGATTGTTCTAAACTAAACTGGTCATTTCATATGGCCATAGGTTCACTGTTGATGTGGAAACAACATTAGAGTGTGTCTTCAAAATACTGTTTGTGTATTTCTGACCCTGTTTTTAATGAGCTGTGCTACATCAAACAACAGCAACTTCTGTTGGTATGGCAATAAAGTTTGGAATCTTTAATCTTGAATAACATGCATGGTTATTACTTCTAAGAACATAATTCAAAAGTATCTAAAGTAAGTTTATGGTTTGTTCTACCAGGTGGTGTTGTATTATGTTAGTGTGATAGAATGCATTTAGAACCACTCTCACATTCACTATCAATGTTTGAACAACACTAATTAAATGAACTGAGTGGCATTATGTGGGCCTGCAACAGAGACAGGAGAAAGGGCCTGTCTGAAATAGAACCTATGAGCCCTGGTCAAAAGTAGTGCACTACATAGGGAAATAGGGTGCCATTTTGGAGGCATTCAATGTTTTGGAACAAAGATAATGAAGTTAATTGCTGTGTGGAGGCTCAGAGGAGGAGAGGCTGAGAGGAGGGGGCTGAGAGGAGGAAGGAGGTGGGGCTGAGAGGAGGAGAGGAGGAGGGGCTGAGACGGAGGGACGGAGGGGGCTGAGAGGAGGAGAGGAGGAGGGGCTGAGAGGAGGAGAGGAGGAGAGGCTGAGAGGAGGAGAGGAGGAGAGGAGGGCAGAGGATGGAGAGGAGGAGGGAGGAGAGAGAGTATGAAAGAGGAGAGGAGGAGAGTCTGACAGGCTGAGAGGAGGGAGGAGGGGGCGCTGAGAGGAGGAGGGGAGAGGGGGGAGGAGGGAGGAGGAGGGAGGAGAGGTGAGAGGAGGAGGAGGAGAGGTGAGAGGAGGGAGGAGAGGCTGAGAGGGAGGGGGAGGAGAGGCTGAGAGGAGAGGAGGAGGAGGCTGAGGAGAGGAGGAAGCAGGACAGGGAAGAGGAGGGGAGGAGAGCTGAGAGGAGAGGGAGGGACGCTGAATCATCGATGCAGTTCTATAATGGATGTGAATAACAACGCGAGGACTTTTGTAACAGGAATATCAGACCTCTGCATGCTGCTGGTAAAGAACTGTGTTGGTAGAGAAGGACAGTTTATGAAATGCAAGTTCTATAATGAATGAATTAACACAACAGTCGATGACGGGTTTCAGTGTGGCCATTCTCTAGCTGGATACAGAACTCATTCTAAACTACCACCTGGAATCCTTGAACAAGCTTCATAATGTGAAGTAAATAAACAACAGTCGAAATGTACGTGGTTCGTGTGAATTCAGGCTAATATTTTTAGAACCATTTCATCCTACTACTCACAAAACACTGAGAACTGTTGGTTAAAAAGACAAGGTGTTTAATGTAGAAATCAATTGTATATATCAATAAAATCCTAACTAAGTCCCACTAGAACACTCATACAGGGTCTTTGCTCAGACTAGCTGGCTCAGTTCTCTACGTCTTACCAACCCAGTTTCCTATAACAACTAGAGGTCTCTGGAAAGTCATTCGTTATTTCTCATAAATCTATATTTTATAGATTTAACAATTGGCAGTATAAACCCTTATCTCACACACTATTACATTCAGATACTCCGGAAGTGGCATGTAATCAGGGGATGTTTCCCAAATGGCACCCTATTCCCTATATAGTGCACTACTTTTGACCAGATCCATGCACTACTTTTGAATAGGGTGCCATTTGGGACACAACAAGGGTGTTGGGTCAATTCTGCCTCAAGTTCAGTTGATTCATAAAACGAATAGAAAGATCCAACTAAGGTATTGACAAATCCCACATAGACGATAAAGAACCAAATGAAACTCCTGAAATTCACTCACATTTTCTGAACTGACAGACCTCAATCCTGTTGCTTCTAATAGTGAATGAGACTCGTTGAACGGAGGCTTGTTTCTGGGTTTACCGTTAGAAGGACTGCGACGGCATATTCACCAAGTTTAGATTGTCCCTGAGTGGGCTCCAATTTATAGTGGGAAATAAGGTAGTTTTATAATGCAGTAAGATCATGTCATAATCCTATCATACACAGAAGGAACATTCTGATATGTACTGCAACGGAATCCTTCCCAGCTGTGGTGTCAATCATACTTTCAAATGATTAACGTAGTGGCTTCCTCAAGCACATTCAATGGAGAACCTCAAAGACAGGGCCCTTGTAGTGGTGTGTGTGTGGTGTGTGTGTGTGTGTGTGGTGTGTGTGTGTGTGTGTGTGTGTGTGTGTGTTGGGTGTTGTGTGTGTGTGGGTGTGTGTGTGTGTGTGTGTGGTTGTGGTGTGTGTGTGTGTGTGTGTGTTTGGTGTGTGTTTGTGTGTTTAGTGTGTGTGTGTGTGTGTGGTGTGTTGTGGTTGTTTGTGTTGGTGTGTGTGTGGTGTGTGTGTTTGTGTGTGTGTGTGTGTGTGTGTGTGTGTGTGTGTGTGTGTGTGTGTGTGTGTGTGTGTGCGTGTGGTGTGTGTGTGTGTGTGTTGTGTCCTGTCCTCTACAGATAAAGTGCTGTAATCAGAACCCTATAGGCCATAGAGCTGGTGGTGACCAGACCGGTGAGGAAGGCCAGAGCTCTGCTGGGCTGGGGCAGGGGGAGGACGTAGGCCACGGTGTGGCAGAGCCTGGAACCAACAAACACCCGGAAGTGGAGCAGAGCAGTGGAGAGGTCTGGCCCCGTCAGGGTATACAGCAGACCAATCACTACGAACGGAATGATGTTCTCCAGGTCGTTCTGGTGGCATCTGGTTGGGAACGAGAGAGAAGAGAGAGTTCAGATCCGTATATTTCAAAATATTTGGATAATTAAAAATGTCGAAATGAATTACATTAAAAGCAGTACTTCTAACACCTACTTCCTGTCATAGTTACAGCAGTTGTACGTCAGCGTGAACCACAGAGCTGTGTTGAAATGATATTTCTATGGGGCTACCTTCGTACTCTCTCCACATCAGGATCCACCCTGACCATCTTCTTCTTGTCCTCTGTAGAGGAGGTCAGACTGGTGTCCTCCTGGTTAGCAAATGCCTGAAAGGAGGTGGAAGCAGGCAGGGGACATGTTTTTTTTGCTTGTTTCCTTTACACCTCAGCTCTGTCAGGCCAGGGAGGGTCAAAGTTCATCTATTCAACACCCTTCTCAGCTCCTCTGTTCTATTCCATTCATGAAATTGAATTTAAATTCACTTGGAATTATGCTTTTTTTATTCAAACCGTTTTTTGAAGTGGTTTTATTAGTAGCCCTTTCCTGCAGTCAATGACCAAAAGCGCCCTCTAGTGGCCACGTGGGTGGAACGTCATTCATTTTCTTCATAATTTCATAATTTAATCAAGATGATTTCAGAAAACCTGATGAAAATCCTATGTTTCTATGTCAAACAGTTCTGTTATATTTCAGTCTTCTGTGATGTATATAAAGTGTAATATTGGGATGCAAACTCAAAATTAAATACATTTCAACTCTATATCTGACCTGGTACAGGGGTCTTCTTTTTTTGTAAGCCCATAACCATGTGTGTGAGGTGTATACTTTTGTTTCAAAGTAGATTTGTTTAAGACTACCAGAGAAACACTCTGTGTGACCCTGATTTAGCCCACTGCAGTAAAATTAAAGAAAAAACGTTTAAGGTGTTTTCTGTGTATAAGCTATGAATATGCATGTTACAAAGCTCTAGGTTTGTGTACCTTTCTGGTGAGTCTGAAGTATCCAGTCATGGGAGACATCAGCATCATCTTGAGGACGACGATAGTGGCATAGGTAGAGAAGGCCAGGAACACCTCACTGTCTATCATATGAGTTAGCTCTGCCATGTCTGTTCTGTTGAGTCCCTCTAGACAACAGACAACATACCTTAGTGATGACACGGTTCAGGTTTGATTGAACTTCGAGTGGATTTGAACACGGCTTTACATTTCGACTTCAAAACATGTTCTATTGAAAAGAAACACAATAATTATGTAATAATAATATAATAATAATATGCCATTTAGCAGACGCTTTTATCCAAAGCGACTTACAGTCATGTGTGCATACATTTTTACGTATGGGTGGTCCCGGGGATCGAACCCACTACCCTGGCGTTACAAGCGCCATGCTCTACCAATTGAGCTTACGCGAAGTAAGTCTGATCATTGATCTAATTGTAATAAGACATTAATAAACCTAATGCATGTAGACATTTATTGAGTTAAGACAACCCTTATTTTTGTTATTTTCTGGGGTGCTATTGCAGAATTTTGGAGAGCAGTGTTCAATCCAACACTTTAAGTTTCCAATCTTTGTAATGTATGTGACATTTTTACTGCACATCTGTTTCTGGGGTAGCTGACACAGATGCAATTTGCCCAAAAGAAAGATAATACTTTGCCCGCGGGGGGCCAGTATGAAAAAAATAAAAATGTATGCACTCACTAACTGTAAGTCGCTCTGGATAAGAGTGTCTGCTAAATGACTAAAATGTAAATGTAAATACTATGATAAATTAAATGAATGCATTGTATTGTGACACAATGTCTCCCATGCACATTTTATAAACTGTGCAGCCCTGGGTACGTGCAGCCACAGCGTTAGTGCATTTATATAGCCTACCGACATTACGTAAAATAGCCTACTTTTTTTCTTCAAAGAACGATGCGAACTTTAACCACTATAACGGTTACATTTCAATTATCTACACATGCGCTACAATAATATTCCGCTGATGGCGTTCGCATAGGTTATTTGAGTTGAGCAAATAGTTTCCTACCTTTTCCAGAACTTCGTCTTTGGCTTTGAATCGCCCCAGTGAAAAGTACCAGCCTGCGATACTGTGCCTACGTGGGCGGTTTGTTCGTGCAGTTTCAGAACCGGAGGCGAATATTTGGAATTCCGCCAGGTCTGCGCCTCAACGGAAAAATGTGTCCACTTCCTCCAATGGCTTTTTTATGTTACCGTTGATTGTCTGATGAACACATTTTCATCTACAACATCTATGTATATTCGTTCTACAAACAAATACCATGAGACATGTAATTATATAATTTTTTTGTTTATTTACAGGGGAAAGCATGGAAATTACTATCACTGAATGGCGTAGAAAATGCAATGGACAAAGTAAACCAATTAGTAGGGTTACAAATATGTAGCCAAGTAAACATATCATATAGTTCTAAAAGCCTCATTAAAAATAATAATAATACAGAATTAGATCAAGTAAGGTCATATTCATTAGCCAATTAGCAAAATATCTCTGGTATTAATAGCCGACTTCATAGGCCTTTATTAATTCAGCTCAGAGAACAACAAATTTCCCCCATCTTTAATTCAACTTTAATTCCCAAACCCTAATTGAATAATTTATAAACATTAGATAATCACATCAGTGCAAAAATGTCTAAGATATCAAATTAGTGTTTGCTGTCACTCAGACAACCAGACAGACCGGTCTGAAGAGCTGTGTGTCAGACATTTTTTGGGGGGATTATGTGTGTATTGTTTTGTATTTTTATTGCTGAGTAGTACTGCACTGTTGGACCTAGAGAAACACAATCATTTCGCTGCACCTGCGATAACGTTTGCAAATCTGTGTACGCGACCAATAAAGCGTGATGTGGGTAAACTAGGCAGACACATGCAGCATCAGATACTGAGCTGCACAATATTTAGTTTAGGGCTCCATTCAATCCGTATCGCCGAAGTTCAGCGCTGTAGCGTGCTTGAAATTTAAAGGTAATTTTCCGATAGAGAAGATATATGCAGCGTTTACCGTGAATGCAGTAGCCGCAGGAACATTCAATTACTATTGCGCTGTAGCACTGAACTTCCGTGAAACGGATTGAATCGAGCCCTAAGTTTAGTTTAATTATTTTTGCTGATATTATACTTTTTTGCACAGATACAATTCAGTGCTGAGTTCAAAACAAAACGTGCAGGGAATGTCAAGTTAGTCTAGTGATACAACCGAACCAATAGAATAGTCCCAGAAGTGCAATCTCCATGTTCAATCAAGCACTGTCGAGTATTTAACATTATGTAGCCTATTTGACCCACATCTGCTAAATGTGTGGAGAGTCCCGAAGACTATTTTAGGCCATCTGAAAACGTTTAATCAATCAATCTGGATTAATTGATTGATCGCCTCTTCAGAGGTGGGCTGTGCTTAGCACCCTGTATGCCATGGAGAAGGTAGCACCCATGCCAACCATCCAAGCCAGAGCTCTGCTGGGCTGGGGCAGGGGGAGGACGTAGGCCACGGTGTGGCAGAGCCTGGAACCAACAAACACCCGGAAGTGGAGCAGAGCAGTGGAGAGGTCTGGCCCCGTCAGGGTATACAGCAGGCCAATCACTACGAACGGAATTATGTTCTCCAGGTCGTTCTGGTGGCATCTGGGGAATGTGAGAAGAGACCGTAAGAAGAATACTACTAGGAAAAACTTGCTGTCCGAAGTACTAACAATGACTAGAATATGATAGGATAGAATAATCACGTTAAAGATCATAGATACATTCAGCTTCATCTCAAGTTATAAAATGAATGTAACTAAATCAGCCTTACTGCCTCCCAAGACTCCAACTCTACTTATAGAATCCCAACCGCTTCCCGTTTTAAATATTTGGGAATAGATATATTTCCTTTCTTAGACAAAACCATTGCCAGAAACTTTAACAGAATGCTCAAATAAATTCAATCTGACCTCAGTAGATTGAACAATATCCCAGTTGCTTTAACCGGCAGAATATTTATTGTCAAAATGTATATATTGCCACGGCTGAATTTCTGTAGTTCAATGCTTCCCATGTCTCCCCTTTTTGGCTATCGGGATAAAATTCATAGTGCGGTTAAAACATTTACAGTATATGGCAAGGTAAACGATCCCGGATAAAAATTAATACATTTACAAAGAGGGAAAGCTGTATGAGAACTATCCTTATCAAACTTTAAATGGTATTTCTAGGCACTAGCATTTCGCCCCATCCTAAACTGGTTTAGACATGATTCTTCCACCCCCCGTCTGAGTATAGAGAGAAATAGAGGTGGTCTTCACTGATATGTCCCTTAAACAATGTAATATGGTGTCTCCTATTGCCCTGGAAGAGGTGGTCTCCACTGATATGTCCCTTAAACAATGTAATATGGTGTCTCCTATTGCCCTGGAAGAGGTGGTCTTCACTGATATGTCCCTTAAATAATGTAATATGGTGTCTCCTATTGCCCTGGAAGAGGTGGTCTCCACTGATATGTCCCTTAAACAATGTAATATGGTGTCTCCTATTGCCCTGGAAGAGGTGGTCTCACTGATATGTCCCTTAAACAATGTAATATGGTGTCTCCTATTGCCCTGGAAGAGGTGGTCTCCACTGATATGTCCCTTAAACAATGTAATATGGTGTCTCCTATTGCCCTGGAAGAGGTGGTCTCCACTGATATGTCCCTTAAACAATGTAATATGGTGTCTCCTATTGCCCTGGAAGAGGTGGTCTCCACTGATATATCCCTTAAACAATGTAATATGGTGTCTCCTATTGCCCTGGAAGAGGTGGTCTCCACTGATATGTCCCTTAAACAATGTAATATGGTGTCTCCTATTGCCCTGGAAGAGGTGGTCTCCACTGATATGTCCCTTAAACAATGTAATATGGTGTCTCCTATTGCCCTGGAAGAGGTGGTCTCCACTGATATGTCCCTTAAACAATGTAATATGGTGTCTCCTATTGCCCTGGAAGAGGTGGTCTCCACTGATATGTCCCTTAAACAATGTAATATGGTGTCTCCTATTGCCCTGGAAGAGGTGGTCTCCACTGATATGTCCCTTAAACAATGTAATATGGTGTCTCCTATTGCCCTGGAAGAGGTGGTCTCCACTGATATGTCCCTTAAACAATGTAATATGGTGTCTCCTATGCCCTGGAAGAGGTGGTCTCCACTGATATGTCCCTTAAACAATGTAATATGGTGTCTCCTATTGCCCTGGAAGAGGTGGTCTCCACTGATATGTCCCTTAAACAATGTAATATGGTGTCTCCTATTGCCCTGGAAGAGGTGGTCTCCACTGATATGTCCCTTAAACAATGTAATATGGTGTCTCCTATTGCCCTGGAAGAGGTGGTCTCCACTGATATGTCCCTTAAACAATGTAATATGGTGTCTCCTATTGCCCTGGGAAGAGGTGGTCTCCACTGATATGTCCCTTAAACAATGTAATATGGTGTCTCCTATTGCCCTGGAAGAGGTGGTCTCCACTGATATGTCCCTTAAACAATGTAATATGGTGTCTCCTATGCCCTGGAAGAGGTGGTCTCCACTGATATGTCCCTTAAACAATGTAATATGGTGTCTCCTATGCCCTGGAAGAGGTGGTCTCCACTGATATATCCCTTAAACAATATAATATGGTGTCTCCTACTGCCCTGGAAGAGGTGGTCTCCACTGATATGTCCCTTAAACAATGTAATATGGTGTCTCCTATTGCCCTGGAAGAGGTGGTCTCCACTGATATGTCCCTTAAACAATGTAATATGGTGTCTCCTATTGCCCTGGAAGAGGTGGTCTCCACTGATATATCCCTTAAACAATGTAATATGGTGTCTCTCCTATTGCCCTGGAAGAGGTGGTCTCCACTGATATATCCCTTAAACAATGTAATATGGTGTCTCCTATTGCCCTGGAAGAGGTGGTCTCCACTGATATGTCCCTTAAACAATGTAATATGGTGTCTCCTATTGCCCTGGAAGAGGTGGTCTCCACTGATATATCCCTTAAACAATGTAATATGGTGTCTCCTATTGCCCTGGAAGAGGTGGTCTCCACTGATATGTCCCTTAAACAATGTAATATGGTGTCTCCTATTGCCCTGGAAGAGGTGGTCTCCACTGATATGTCCCTTAAACAATGTAATATGGTGTCTCCTATTGCCCTGGAAGAGGTGGTCTCCACTGATATGTCCCTTAAACAATGTAATATGGTGTCTCCTATTGCCCTGGAAGAGGTGGTCTCCACTGATATGTCCCTTAAACAATGTAATATGGTGTCTCCTATTGCCCTGGAAGAGGTGGTCTCCACTGATATATCCCTTAAACAATGTAATATGGTGTCTCCTATTGCCCTGGAAGAGGTGGTCTCCACTGATATATCCCTTAAACAATGTCAGCTACGCTTTGGTCCTATTACTGCTCACACAATTTCTATTTGGTGCAAAACTGAAAAACAATTTATTTGGGAAACCAAATGTCGTGCCCATACTTCAATATTTCACGATGATGCCTTGCGATCTGGAGGGCGGCTTTTTGCATCCCCCCAATGGTCCAAATGTGGAATCCGTACCCTTGGCGATATCATGGACACTAATGGTTTTGAGAACATTCCGAGATTTTGAAAGAAACATACACATTACCAGGCAACTCCTTTTTCTATATTTACAATTTAGGTCAGACATACTGGCCTATGGAGTCCCTTTGGAAACCCAACTACCGAACCATCCAATGATGGGATTCATAAATACATTATCTGGGCTTCGTAAAGGACTAATCTCTTTTGAACAACTTTTGTAAAGATCATATTCTTAGCTAGCCATTAAAAAAGTATGGCCAACAGATCTAATATAAGCTGAACAACCCTTTAACTGGAACAGAATATTGGAAAAATATGACCTTGGCATCCCGTAATCCAAAACCATCAATTTATACATGTTAAGTTTGTTCACAGACAGTATTTAACACCAAGGAAATGTTTTATCATGAAATTGGCCCCAACTCCCAACTGTTCACTGCGTGCCCTAAATCAGGTAGACGCATTCCTTCATATGATGTGGGAGTGCCCTGCAGTTAAATGCTTCCGGGGCAAAGTTACAAAATGAATTTTGAAAAGCATGAATTTAAATATTCAGTGCTTTGCATCTATTATAATAATATAATAATAATTTAATAATAATATGCCATTTAGCAGACGCTTTTATCCAAAGCGACTTACAGTCATGTGTGCATACATTTTTGTGTATGGGTGGTCCCGGGGATCGAAACCCACTA